GTTTGAACCAACAAACTCAGGCTTCATCTTCCTTTTCCGAGTCTCTTGCCTCTGCTGGGCTGTGTGTCCCAACTGCGCGGTGCAGCAACGGCTGGGCCTAGGGTTATGTCTCTACCCTTGTGCAGCTGCATGCCCTGTGCATCTCCCTGATGGTTCTCCCATTCCTCGCCTCTACTGCCTCAGCTCTAGACACAGCCCCCTCTTCCCCTTGCCTCAGCTCTGACTTCTAGGCAGAAGAGATGTCCCCCAGGGCTCAGTTACCTGTCCCTTCCTGTAACGGTTCCCAGTAACCTGCTTGGGATGAAGGAAGCCAGCACCCCCACCTCCTTCATTACCTCTGCACCGAGCTGGGCTCCACAGACCAGAGAGTAGTGTGTGAACAACACGCACACACTGTGTCCCTCTGCATGCCTGGGTCCTTCACCTGACATGCCCTCCTTCCATCACTGCCTCCTGGCTTGTGCCCTGGGTCTCCAGGCTTCTGCTGGGACAGCCCTACCTGACTGGAGGAGACTCCTGCACACTCTTGACACCACTGGCTCATACTTTTGTGTGAGTCAGTGTGGTGTACCTCTGCCCTGTGTGCTCAGTGGTGTGAACCCAGATGCCAGCATGAGAGGAGAGGTCAGAGATCTGCTCCCTGTCACCTTCTCATAGGAGTCAGACAGATGCAAGACCAGGAAATTGCTACGTATAGAGGCTTGGCGACATGTCACCAGAATAGACAGCAGAGTTGGAGCAGATCATAGCCCAAGGCTGGGAGAAGGCAGGGCAAAGCCAGGCCCACTGCCATGACTATCTGAGGGGAAGACAGCTCCTGCTGCAGACCAGCCATCACTGTGTGATGGGGACACTAGCTGTGCTGGGGACACCTGAGTGGCCCTGGGCTCCCAGCACCAATGCTCAGGGCTGTGTGGAGAGCCCTGGGGACAGGGACATGCAGTGGCTGAGAGGGACAGGTCTGCGTTTATTTCCTCCTGCCCTGAGCCCATGCCTCTGCCCCGCCCCAGCCTTGCTTATTACTGCTGTCTAGGAAGACTTGTTCCGCTGTCCCAGCTCTGCCACCTCTCCGCCCACCTGTCCTTTAGCTCTGGCTCCACCCCTCTCGCTACCGTGCAGCAGTTTCCTCTCGTCTTCACCTAACTCGGGCACCAGAGTGTGCCTCCCTTTTCTCCTCACCCCGACTCTCCTGGGCCCCCCAGTTCCGATCTGCCATCTGCCTGAATCCTCTCAGGCACTGTGCCCAAGACATGTCCCTGAGCTGGGCTGGGCGGCAGCGGTGTCGAGGGCTTAGCACCTTGTTTGAGCACCTGACTCTAGGAATCTCTAGTCTCTGTCCTCGGCCCCACTCCATCCTGCTCAGCTGTCTGACTTCTCTGTTCCTCAGGATCTGCCCATTCAAGGCCTGGCCAGGGCATGGTCCCTAGTCACAGTCCCGTCTGGCTGTAGCCAGTGTCTCAGACCCTCTGAGATCTGTAAGTGGGACCATGGCTGACCCCCACAGGCTGTGCTGGGCACCCCGGAACTAAAAAGGATGGAGAGGGCTGTAGCTGGCTACTGGTGGACTCCTTGGCTGGCTTACACCCCAGTGACCTCTGGGGGACCTGCCACTGTGGTCTCTGGAGTCCCATGACTCCCCGAGGATCATGGGCTTCTCAGTAAGCCAGCCCAGCCAAGTAGGTGGACTCTGGGACAACCTGGATGCTGTGTGTGTGTGTGTGTGTGTGTGTGTGTGTGTGTGTGTGTGTGTGAGAGAGAGAGAGAGAGAGAGAGCGCCAGAGAGAGAGAGAGAGAGCGCCAGAGAGAGAGAGAGAGAGAGCGCCTGTGAAAGCCAGAGGTCAGCAGCTTTGGTGTTCCTCAGATCCGCACTGTGGATTTAGTTTTTTATAGTTTTGGTTTGGTTTTTGGTTTTCCTTTTTTTTTTTTTTTTTTTTTTTTTAGCATTTGTTTGTCATTGTGTGCGTGTGCACATGCGGTCAGAGGACAGCTTGCGGGAGTCTCCCCCTCCATCAAGCTCAGATCCCCAGGCAGGCTGCAGGCCGCAGGTAGCTTTACCCACTAAGCCACCTCATCAACCCCATGCACCTTGTTTTAAAGCAAGGTCTTCCATTGGCCCGGAGCTCAGCTATTTGGCTAGACTGGCTGACTGCAAGCCCAAGGATCCTGGCTACACCCACTCAGTCCTGGGGTGACAAACACATCACCAAGTCTAACTTCTTTACATGGCTTCTGGAGATGGAACTCAACAAGCACGTTACCCATGGAACTTTCATCCCAGATATATGTGTGTGTGTGTGTGTGTGTGTGTGTGTGTGCGCGCGCGCGCGTGTGTGTGTCCCTGTGTGTGCACGGGCACGCGCATTGGCAGTACTTGAAATGGAACCTTGGACTTTTTGCAGACTAGGCAGGAGCTCTACCACTGAGCCACACCCCCAGCCCATCACTGGTGTATTCTAGACAGGTGCTTTGCTGCTGAGCTACACCCCCAGCCCTCTTTTTTTCCCTTTAAAGCAGAATCTCATTAAGTTGCCCAGGCTGGCCTTGAACTTGCCATTCTCCTACTTGGCCTCTGCAGAGCTAGGATAACAAGCCTGTGTCTCTATGCCTAGCTTCTTTTTTAACTCTACAGTCAACGTTGAGCCAGTGTCTAGATCCATCCGGGCCTCAGTTTCTCTGTTTATGAATGGGGATGCCAGCAGTTCTGAGAGGGCTGCTACCCAGAGAACAGCTTTTTCCTCAAGAAGCACTGCAGAAAGGTGTGGTGTCTGTGCTGGTAATGTATCCTGGGGGTGCTGCTGTGTGTGGTGAGCCTGTGCCTGGAACTAGCTCAGGTACACACTCAGAAAAAGCAGCTGGCCTGTGTTCCAGCTGCTCTAGTGTGGTCAGCAAGGAGCTCCACGGGCAGGCTCTGGTTCCGAGCAAGGACGAGACTCCCCTGTTACAAGTTGTTTGGAGAATAATAATCGCACAGAAATGTAGTGGGATCTAGCAAACCAGGTGGCACTGTGGCAAGGAGGGAAGGAAAAGACATGGGACACAGGTGTTCAGCCAAAGGCAGTGACCTCCTGCGGACAGGTGGAGACCTCAGGTGGGAGCAATCTTACAGTGTACCTGGACTGGTTGGCAGGTGTTATCTGTGACAAGAAGCAGAGATATAACCCAGAAAGTGTGCACAGCCGAATGTCCACAGCAACGTGTCCATCCCTTCTCTCACCTGGCACTTGCTGAGCGTACCAGGCTCCATCACAGGTCTCAAAACCAGAGACCAAAGCAGATGTGGCCACCACTCTCGGTGAATGTGTTTTCCAGTAGGTGTGGTCGGAGAGGTCAGGTGGCAGCTTACAGAGGGAGGAAGAAAAGGTACTGGGCATCGTCTGCTGAGAATGCGACATCACAGAGGGTGCAGGCACGGGGAAGAGCAACCACAGAGCCGCCCCGACCCCCAGGCTGGTGCTCAGCCCTCCTAGCGAGGAGTGGGTGCTTCACCTTTGTCTGTATGAGAGCCCTAAGCAGCACGGGGTGGGATCTGGCTGCTATGTTGACAGGGTCCCTCTGGCCACCTGTGGAGCCAGACACAGTGTAGAGGACAACAGAAGTCCAGGAAGATCGAGGTGGTGGTCAGCTCAGGAGCTAGCTGCGCGTGAGCTCTCTAGTGTGGAGACAGGAGCGCCTATGATCGGTACTCTTCCCACCTCCAGCCACACCTGTATTAGCATCCTCACAGTGGAGGACAGCAGAACTCAGAAACTGAGGCCAGATGGAAGAAAAGGCAGATTCGGGGATCCAACCCAGAGCCCCTGCCCCTTCCCAGAGCTCTAAGTGGCACTACTTCCACTTGCTGAGCCTTGTACCCATGCATAAACATTTGTTGGCATCTGATTCGGTGCCTGGCACATAGTGCGGGCTTCAGAAACAGGTTTAGGATAGAGGGTGGGGAAATGCAGGGGTGATAGACAGGCAGAGAGACAAAGAGATAGATGGGTGGATGGATGGGTGGATGGATGGACGGACGGATGGACAGATGATGGGAAATAGATGAATACGTGCATATAAGGATGGTTAGAGAGATATAAATGCATGGATGAACAAATAAATGGATAAGAATGGAGAGATAGCTAAAGGGATGGATGAATGGATATAGAGATAAGTGAATTTACAGATGGATGATGGATGGACAAAGAGAGGAACAGACAGGTGGATGGAAGGACAGATGAGTAGAGTGTGGGTGTGTGGATTGGATGGATGGATCCACAGATGAGGGAGTGGGTGGGTGGGTGGTACGTGGTTGGGCAGATGAATGTAGTGTGGAGAGTGGAAGGAAGAATGGATAGATGAAGAGATGCATGAAGTGGATAAGCAGTAGCTTCCCAGCCTGTTCTGCAGAGGGCACCCGGAGGTGGCTGTCAGGCTGTAGATGAGGTGGGGTAGATGAGGAGCACCAGGGGTAGCTTTCTTTGTGGCAAGAATGAGTGCTGGCCCCAAGTGAAAGACAGGGTGATGGTAATATGGGCCTAAGTTGACTGGCATAGATTGGGTAATATATTGAAACGGGGTCAAATCAGAGACTGTATGAGGAAGTGGGGGTCCTAGAGCAGACGTATGGGTGCCTAGACCCAGGATGGACCCTGAGGATGCAGGAGTCCATGTGGCCCAGCCTGGTTCTGCAGCTGAGGCTGCTGTGTATGTGTGCCACGAGGCTCTAGCTTGGCACAGTCCAAAGCCCTCTCCCCTGGCAGCACAGCCGCCAACCTTCCTCCCCCCGCTTCCCCCGACCTTCCCTGACTGCCCAGAACCAACGGGTTAATTAGATAACGGAGCCTTTGATTAGTGGGGGAGGGGGAGGCCACCCCCTGGCTGAGCTAGCCGGGAGGGGGGGAGTTGAGTGAGGGTGGAGGGAAAGAGTGAGGGAGCGCCCTCCCCGCTGGAAGGAGAGAAAGAAGGAGGGAGGGGGCGGGGAGAGAGCGAGCTGGGCTCTGCACTGCCGTGTGACTAGAAATCGTAATCGCAGAGAAAGGGAGAGAAGCAGAGCTGGGAGAGGGACAGGACAGACAGACTGTAGGAACCTGACCGAGCCAGGCTCCCCGCAATGACAGGGTGACGGGGCAGTGGAGGAGGAGGATAGATAGACGAGGGGTCTGGTGGTCCTCAGGGAGGCAAGACAGAGTTGGGGAGCTGGGGAGAGGGGCCGAGGCTGGGTCTGCGAGTGGAGAGAAAGGAAGCTGGTGTGGGGAGTGGACTAGGTGGGGGGTACAGGACCGGAGGAGGCAAGGGCTTGCTAGTGTGGTGGTCAAGAGAAGAAGGCCAGGCTCCCCTAGAGGGTGGGAAGGGCGACAGACGAGGGGGGGGTGCAGGGAGACCCAAAAAGCCCCTGCGCCCCCCCCAGCACAAGCTCAACGGGAAGCAATAGGAAGCTGGGGTGGCCTCGGGGTAACTGCAGACATGCGGAGGGGGGGCCTGGGGCACAGAGAGAAGGCCTTCGGAAGCCAAGCCACCAGGGTGAGTGTCCCTCAGTGTGTTTGCTCTAGGAGCAGGGAGACAAGGGCAAGGAGGTGGTGGCAGGAGAGGCGGGAGGAGAAGGAGGGAGCTGCTGCAGAAGTCTCGGTGGGGGAGGAGACCCGGGTGCTGGCCTGGGGGATGGTGGGCTCAGTGAGCACCGCAGCAGCTCCTAGGCTTAGAGGGTAGGGGCTGGTCATAGCAGTCTCAGGAAGTGGGGACAGTAGACCCGGGGTGGACTGAGGAGAAAGCTCACTGACCACACGTGTGGGAACAAAGACCCCACAGCCCCTGCTGAGACAGGCCAGTGCAGGCAGGGCCTGGTAACCGGCCCTGAGGCAGGGGGGCCCTGTGTCTGTACCGGGCTATCTCAGCTTAGTCTCTCTGTCCATCTCTCCATCAGTCTCTCTTTTTGTCTAATTCTGTTTCAGCTCTCTGTCACGGTCTCTCTCTGCCTATCTCTGTCCCGGTTTTTGCCTGTCTTTTTGTCTGTCTCTCTCTATCTCTCGTTGTCTCTCTGTCTCCATCTCTGTCTCCATTTCCTGCCCTCACACACTTGCTCAAACACACAGCGGCACACACATTTCTATCTGGGTTAAAATCTTGGAAGCTGCAGGAATGTGTGTGTGTGTGTGTGTGTGTGTGTGTGTGTGTGTGTACGTGCGCTTGCGCGTGCTCATGCACACCTGCAGCTGGGGGGGGCAGCCCTGTGTCCATGGATTGGAGAGGCCATGTGCGAGGGTGTGTCTGTCCCTGCTGTTTGTGTGAGTGGGTGGATATCGTGTTTATGGGGACCCCCTTCCAGTCTCATGGGACTATGTGTGTGAGCACTCAGGGACACTGTGTGGAGGGGGACATTGGAAGGCAGAGGCAAACCCCCCTCTGCCACCCAGTGGGCCTTGAGATGGCCTGGCACACAACCTAGCAGCTTCCGCCTTCCACAGGCAGGAGTGGCTGATGCATTGAAAGGGCGCCTGCTGTGCTGGCTGCAGGTGCCATCCTTCCTGCGCGCCATTTGGTTAGCCTGCCTCCTTCCCCCCTGAGGCTAGGGAAAGCAGGGGACTGGCTGGATGGGGGCAGTGACAACTGACACACATGGAGGTCCCTACTGCCCCTTCCCACTTGGTCAGCTCCCTCGGCCTCCATCCTGCGACAGTTGCTGGCACAGATCCCGCCATAGGCTGTTCCCTCGGAGCACCTGCAATCTTAAGACTGCCCGTGGTCTCCAACTGTGCTGCCACAGGGTCCACCTCCTCCTAGAACCCAGACACCTCCTGACCTCTCTCTAAGTCTAGGATAGGACAGGGCCCGAAAGGAGTGACGGATGGTCCAGGGTGGGAAGGAGGGAATCTAGCGCTGGGCCCTGGGACTGGTGCTGTCATACCTGGGAGGAGACATTAGGAGAGGGGCAGAGAGGTGGGAGGCTGCCTCCCAGGGGTGTGCCTGGGTGTGATGGGAGTCCGTCAGCTTTGTGCTTCACCCTGGCAGAGCTTTTGCCTCTGTCTGTCTGTCCCTCCATCCCTAGATACTTACCTGTCTAATTTAAATCAATGCAAAGACAATTTAAAAAAAAATAAGCTTTGGGGATGGGGCCAAGGGCTTGGACATTGGGAATGTGCTCTTCCATTCAGCTACATGTCGTCTTTTTGGTTTGAACAAGGTCTTACAGTGGTGCCCAGGCTGGCCTTAGATGTACTCTCTAGCTCAGGCTAGTCTGGAACTTTCAGTGTTCCTGCCTTGCCTCCTGAGCCCCTGAGAAAGCAGCCCTGCACCCCCAGGCTTGGCACCATCTAAGTTTCAGTCTAGCTGACTTTGCCATTTACTGACCAAGTGACCTTGGGTGCAAATGTTCTCTGCCGGCCTCAGTTATTCTGTCTGCAGAATGGCCCAGGAGAAGATGGGCCCAGCACAGACAGACCAGGTCCCTGTATCTTTGGTTCTGGGCAGGGGTGGGGGCTTCTGGCAGAGTTTCGAGCAACCTGAGTCCCTGACACTTAATGGCCAACATCTTCTCTCCTCCCACAGCCCCCCAGCGTGCCCTCGGAGTATGAACATTGAGAATGGCGCAAGCCCACACCCGTGGTTCCCTGTGTCCCCTGCTGCCGCCTGGTAGGATGTCCTGGCCCCACGGGGCTCTCCTGCTCCTGTGGCTCTTTTCCCCACCCCTGGGAGCCGGTGGGGGCGGTGTGGCCGTGACCGCAGCTGCTGGAGGAGGGTCCCCACCAGCCACCTCCTGCCCAGCAGCCTGCTCCTGCAGCAACCAGGCCAGCAGGGTGATCTGCACACGGAGGGAGCTGGCCGAGGTGCCTGCCAGCATCCCTGTCAACACCCGCTACCTGAACCTGCAAGAGAACAGCATCCAGGTGAGTCCGCCTCCATCGCTGGTTGGACCGTGGGTCAGAGTACAAAAGGCATAAGCCTCTGCCTCTCTCTAGCTCCCTCTCAACCTGGAGTTCCTGGCGCCTGCGCACCAGCTCCTCGCGTCGTCGCCCGGCCCACCTTTGCGATGTACTTCCACGCAGGCTGTGTGCATCTTCCTGGGGTGCCTGCCACGCCCTCACTCCACAGGACAGGGTGCCTTGAGGTGGCCGGGAGAGGTCCTGGTGACCCTCGCACTTTTTGGCCTGAGACGGGCACTCCCAGCAAGCCTCAGTGCCTTATCTAGAAAGTGGGGCCTGGGGAGCTAGCTGATTGAATGATGGGGACCAAGGGGCCGAGACTGGCACTGACATAGTAGTTAGTAGGGGCTGCAAGTGACTTTAGCTGTCTTTGTTTGGTGCACAGCCTGCCCCTTGCGGTGGGGCTGGTGCTGTGCTGGTAACCAAGCCGGCTGTTGGGAGCTGCCTCCCACCTCGGGTTGAGGTGGAGCTGTCCTGAGTGCTGCAGGATGCTCAGCAGTGCCCTGGCCACTGTTTCCAAATGTCTGCAGCTGTTATTAGACACCAGGCTCACCCGAGTGAGGACTTTGTTGCTGGTTGTTTCTTGGATTTTGTTTTTCTCTTATTATTGGTTTGTTTGCTTGCTTGCTTGCTTGCTTGCTGAGATAAGGTCGGGGTCTCACTCTGTATCTCCAACTGGTTTGAAACTTTCCATAGCTCAGGCTGACCTTGAGCCCGCTCTGTAGGCCAGAGTGTCCCCAACTTGCAGTGACACTCTTGCTCCAGCCTCCTGTGCGCTAGAAGAGAGGAGGCCCCTCACAGAAGGTCCCAGACAGTCCATCTTCAGCAGAGGGGTCTCCTGGAGAGCCAGACTCTGGGAAGAATGGAAACCCCGGGGGAGGGCTGCTGGGGCCAGGCCCTTTCTGAGTGGCTGGGAAGCAAGGATGGGTGAACCAAAGAAACTTGAGAGCCAGCGCCACCACTGCTCTTGGGGCTGTCACTCTCTTCTCCAAGTCCACCTCACGAGCAGTTAGAGGGATGCAGTTAGACATCAAGGAAGCAAACTGGCAGAAATGATTGACATCTGTGTCTGCATCCCTCTGACTGCTGGGCTGTCTATGCCCCTCACTAGGGCAGACCTCCTGCCACAGAATGGACATCATCAAAGGATGAAACATCGCAATAGAAATCAGAACACTCTCCTCTGTCACCAGTTAGGGGTTCTGCATTCCACTGTCTACTGGTCTGCCTTAAAAGCTGAGATCCAAAGCAGAAAGGCCCATGGGCCTAGCCGCTCTCAGGGGCCAGCCTTCCAGGGCTGAAATGTAAAGCCGGCTGGGCATGGCGCTGTGCACCTATGGTGCCGGGTGAAAGCCAGCCTGAACCACATAGTGAGTTCCAGGCCAGCCTGGCCCACGGAGAGACTGTGTGTCAAATCCAACCAACGAACCAGCATACAACAAAAGAAAAAAGTAACGATTTTAATTATCCATATTTTTAAAAAAATCATCACATCCCACCACCCAGATATAAATAACTCCTGTTTACATTTGTTTTCATACCTTTCTGGGCTTATGTAAATGTGTCTTTTAATTATTTATTACAGAATGAATACAAATTAATTTTCTAGTTTTCCTAATGAGAAAATACACTTAGATAAACATACAGAGACAAAAGCTACTCGCAGTCCCACAGGCTCAGAGAGCTCTCCTTCCTGTCTGGAGTTCCCAAGCCGACATCCCCAGCGCATACTCAGGGTCCTGCCTGTCTAACAGGGGGTCATCTGCTTCCGTGTGTGTGTGTGTGTGTGTGTGTGTGTGTGTGTGTGTGTGTGCCATTGTTTTTCTGAAGCGGGCTCTCTCTGAACTGGAGGGCACAGATCACTCAGCTCAGGGATCCTCCAGCCCTCCTCCAAGCGCTGGGGTGCAGATGTGCACCCGATGCCTGTCTTCTCTGCTGACGCTGGAGCTCCAACAATGGTCCTCCCGCCTGTGCATCTCCAACAATGGTCCTCCCGCCTGTGCATCTCCAATAACGGTCCTTCCGCCTGTGCATCAAGCTCTTTCCCCCCACCGTGGCCTCCACCAGCTTTCTTTTCAGAAGTGAGAGCCACAGTGTTTTACAATGCCTCGAGGTTGGGTTTTTCTCAGACCTGTCATTGCTGGGCTTTTGTTTTGCAGTATTGGTAAGGGACCAGGGTCTCCAACATTCTAGGCAGGTGCTCTACCACTGGGCCACACCCCAGCCCTCTTTTCACTTTTGATTGTGAGACAGGTTTTCACTCAGTTTGCCCAGGCTGGCCTTGAACCTACTCTCTAACCTAGGCACACCGCAAGACTTTCATCCTCCTCTTGCTTATTTGAGAACCTAAGATGTCAGGCCTGTGCCACTAGATTTGGCTTGGTTTACGGTTTTTGAAAATCTCATTATGTATCACAAGCTGGCCTTGAACTCCATCTCCAAGGTGCTGAAACTAAATGCATGGACCAACAGGCCTGGTATCTAGTGTGGTCTGAAAGCATAGCATTCCTGTCATCAAGAAGAGACTAGTAAAGGGCTGTGTTCCCAAGTGCTGGGATTCTGTACACTCACGATAAACACCAGTGGAGGGGCTAGGGAGGTGGGCAGTATGGCTCCATCTGAGGCTTGCTTGCCTTGCTCCTGGATACCAGCATGGTGACAGCAAGTGCTAAAGAAAAAAGACTATGCATCTCTCAGTTGTAAGTGGAGATGTCCATGCCACATCTGCCCGCTGCCCCAGACTCTGTATGTGCCTGCTGGGTCACAGTGCAGGATCAGAGAAGCACTGCCCAGAGGTGCTATCTGATCACATACCTGGCCCTGTGCACACAGGCATGCACACACACACACACACACACACACACACTCACCATCCGCAAGGACCGCACACACAGTTGCCTGGTGACCGGCTTGTCACCTGCCGTCACCACTCCCAGGCACACTCCGCCATTCCCTGCCGCATCTCCAGCACCTAGAGCAGAGCAGCAGGCACTCAGCAGATATGAGGCAGATGGGGCCCCGACCCAGAGCACTGCCCTCCACTAAATAGGGCCCCTGTCCCCCCACAGCATCCTCCTGTGAAAACAAACCCCACTGGGCACTGGAGGGACTCCAAGGGTACTGACAGCATTCTCTAAAATCTGAACTCCGTGGTTGTATGTAGGTGGCGGGGAAAGCCTCTGCCACAGGGCAGAGACAGTGAGTGGCTCTTCTCACTTGATTTGATTTGATTTACGTTGGTTGGTTTGCGGTGCTGAGGGTGGAATCCAGAGCATTTTATTTTTCTTAAATCAGCAGTTTCTCACTGGTATCCAGTTGTCCAGTTGGGCTGGACTTCACCACCTAACAGAACTCTCAGTCCCAGAGTTACTCTGGCCCAGTGACAGATCACCAGGCCCTGGAACAGTTGGAGTGTGGGAAGCAGAGGTTGGACAGCCACCCCTCCATCCCCTCCTCTTCTCTGGAAGCTGCTCCACCAGGCTGGGCTGCTCCACCGGGCTGGGCTGCTCCACTTGGATGGGCTGCTCCACCGGGCTGGGCTGCTCCACCTGGATGGGCTGCTCCACCTGGATGGGCTGCTCCACCTGGATGGGCTGGGCTGCTCCACCTGGATGGGCTGCTCCACCGGTCTGGGCTGCTCCATCTGGCTGGGCTGCTCCTCTGGGCTGGGCTGCAGCATTCTTCCTCCCTTCCCCCATCCCCATCTCCCTCCTGCCCCACAACCACCCTCATATAATCATGGTAGTCTCTGCCTTTCTACTGATACATGTGTCTGTGCGTCTGCATACATGTGTGTCTCTGTGTATGCATGCACGTGTGTCTTTGTGTATGCATGCATGTGTGTCTCTATGTATGCATGCATATGTCTATATGTATGCATGTACGTGTGTCTGTGTGTCTGCATGCGTCTGTGTGTCTGCATGCACATGTGTCTGTGTATGCATGCGTCTGTGTCTGCATGCGTCTTGTGTCTGCATGCACATGTGTCTGTGTATGCATGCATGTGTCTGTGTGTATGCATGCATGTGTCTGTGTGTCTGCATGCGTGTCTCTGTGTATGCATGTGTGTCTCTGTGTATGCATGCATGTGTCTGTGTGTATGCATGCACATGTGTCTCTGTGTATGCATGCATGCATCTGTGTGTCTTCATGTGCCTCTGTGTATGTGTGTATGTGTTTAATTTATGCAAACACAACTACTGTGGAACTGGTTCTTTGTCCCCATGTCCCCTCAGCCATGTGTGTCTCCTTCATCACCCTAATGCTTCAGAACTGCCCTTGGTGGCCCACGTACCCACTCCTGTGCTACAAAAATCACACTTGGGGAAGGGGACTTTTGTGGAAGTTGTAGGTCTTTTTCTTCTTTTCTCATTTTGTGTGTGTGTGTGTGTGTGTGTGCATGTTGGTGTGTGTATGTTCAGAATTCCACCCTGGCTGTTATCCACTGGGAGCTGTCCACCTCATTTTTGACACAGGATCTCTCATGGGCCTGGAACTCATCAAATTAGCTAGGTTAGCTACCCAGCTAGCCCCAGGGATGCGCCTGTCTCCATCTCTCTATCCTGGGATCACAAGCATGAGCCACACACCCAGTTCTTCCTGTGAGTGCTGGGCTTTGAGCATAGTCCCCGTGTATGCATGCACTGTCCCCAGGCTCTGCAGAGAGAGCGCCATGGAGAGGGAATTGCTGGTCTTAGGCCCTGTGCAGCTGTCCCTCCCCCAGCCACCACGGGAGGGCAGAGAAGGTTCAAAGACTTCCCCTTTGAACATGGCCTAGCAAAAACCCGGGGAGGGAGTTACCCCATGATCCCACCTTGGCTATTGTGTGGCTTCAACTGGGGGGATTTCACACACTCTCTGTAGATTCTGCATAGGTGTTTTTAATGAGGTCTTAAAGACGTTTGTGAGACACTTCCAAATGCCCCATATATGACACCAAATGTTTAGCAAGGTATGGGGCTACA